GGCATCTCAATACTGTAAAATGAGTTGAATAGGAGAACTAATTTTCTTTATTATTATAAAACTAATTCAAAGCTCACTAAATGCATGCAGACAGAATTTTAGTCAGGAGGAGACACCCTATTAAACTAAGATAGTTTATATAACAATATACATGTGTGGCCTACATAGTGTTAAGACAGTATTCACGGAAAAGACTTAAAGCTATACATGTAAATAAAAATTAGAGTTAGCTATGTGGAATAGCTATGAAAAACAACTTTCTTTTTGTTTTTGTACTATCTACATAGTCTAAGTATTTTAGGTATAAGAACAACAAAATATGACTAAGTTTTATCTAGTAGGTCAGGCTCAGCTATTCATGCACTGATGTAACTAATACCATGAAATATGGATCATGACACACTAAGCACTATGCTATGTCATAGATGCAAAGTCATAAGAAAACAAAAGAATCCAAGAAACATGGGTAGCAGGTAGTATGTTAAATGTTATGGATGACTCTCATGGTTTGAATGAGACTGCCCCTCCATAACACAAATGCCACACATTCTTTCTCATCTCATCTGTGGGTACTAGCCTCAAGTATTTTTTTTTTCTTTTGCATGTTTAACTTGGTAGCATATGAGGAAATTAGAAACAGGTCACGGACAGTGGGTGTATACAGCTAAGGAGCTGGGATAATAGAATACAAGTTAAATTAGAGAAGGGAAATACTGGGGGCAGAAATGATGCAGACAGGGAAGCGAGGGGCCAGGGGAAGGCTTGACCAAAATGAATCCAAATAAATAGTATAAGAGGGGACAGTAAGACACATGAGATATGAAGGACATACACGGCCCAGGGAGCTAAGATTTAAGCAGGGATGAGGATGGGGGTAGGAGGTAGGGGGTAGGAGGTATGTTAAGCAAAACAAAGTGGCTGTATAAAGCCCTGGTAGTTTATTGTTATCTAATCTATCCATCTATCAATTTATCTTATAGATATATACATATGTGTGTATATCTGAATGTCCCACATTTTCTCCTGCACTCTCTCTAATCCAGATCTGGGTAAGTGGATACTTGAGCTGGAGGCCTAAGAGTGGCCATTCTATTTTGGATGTTAACAGGAACATTTTTTGTGAAAGACACATGTCAGTCATAATTATACACTGCAATTCAGATACTAGAATGATATCAAGACACAAGCATCTGAGAGAAGGAATTCCTGATTTAAATTAGATTAGATTATTGACGGAGTGGAGTGACTGCCTTCACAGTTACATGAAGACCAACCGTCCGAGCTGGAAAAGCTGGGATATTACAGGTGTATAAACTGACATCTGGAAATTGCACAAATATCCCAAGCACACCATTGTCATCCTCAGCTGACTCAAGGGAAGCACCCGACTGTGCAGAATGCAGTGGACACAAAAACAGGCTAAGGTTGCCATGTACTTAATCCACAGGAGAACATGAGTATGCTTCAGGTGGTATTACCTGATTGAATATGAAGGAACTACCAGCCATCCTGGTGTCATGGAGGTCTTGAATCTACTGATCACTTCCATCAAAGAATGAAACCATTATGTTTTGGACAGTTTTAAAGACAGATGCCTCTCCAATTTCTAGTGCCTATGATTTAATAAGAACTGCTATAGGAAACAAACAAAACAAAACCTATCAACCATACAAAAGAGGTAACCAGAGACTATGCAGGGGGTGGTGTGTGTCTGCTTTCTTTCTTACAAACGATTTATTGCTGGAGTTAAGGGACTCACGACATACTGCATAGGAATGATGGGAGATGTCATTCTGTAAATATATTCCTCTTATTGGTTAATGAATAAAGCACTAATGGCCAATAGGAAAGCAAAATAGGTGGGACTAGGAGACAAGGAGAATTTGAGGAAGTAGTAAGGAGGGGTCAAGATGTAGAAACTGGAGAGAACAGAGGTCTGGGCCCTCTCTCCAGTAAGATAAGACCAGGTGGAAACACTTAGATTAATGGAAATGGGTTAATATTTAAGACAGAACTAGCCAATAGGAAACACTAGTAACAGGCTAACAGCTTTATATCTAATACAGCGTCTCTGTGTGTTATTTGGGGCTGGCACGGCGGTGGCTCCAGGCTGCCAGAAAAACCTGCTCTAACATAGGAACAAGAAGTGGACTTGATAGCACTCATTTCTTAGTAATAATACGTTAAAAGGAAAAGTCAAACATCTACTTAAAGAGTACTGGGGACAATAGGAAGAGACAATGGCGCATGCATTTGATAAATTCTGTCAACCTCAGGATGGTTTCTTTTGGCCATGAGTATTGGGGTATTGGATGAGTCAAAGAGACACTTCTTGGAAGAATATGATGTCACATCTTTGTGAAAGGACAATGTGATCCAGATAGGAAGCAGCTAATTAGTGTGACTCAACCCTACCAAGTACACTCCAATAGATTCATGCATTCATTTAACAGAGGTGTGTGGAAATATTCTTTCTGAGGTAGTGAAGGAATCCAGAAACTACCAACTGAATGAGAAGGCACAGCATGTCACGCCTTAGCTTCTCATTAAGATCCTCTGATGACCTTAAGTTGAATAATTTTATAAATTATCATTAACATAAACTTCCTTTTCATACTTTCATAGAAGTCTTTGTGAGCTGAACTGTAGAACAACTCCATCGTCTGTCCTTTCTTAATCTAAAATGTGAATTTATTTAGGGCCAGTGGCACACAGAAATAAAGAATGAAATAATTGTGAGTAAATTCATTAATATTTATCACAAAAGCTACCATAATTGAAGAATGTAACATGTCTCTAAGAAAATATTTAGTTAATTAATAATGAGTTCAAGAAAGGAAATTATTTGCTATTCAAAGACATGCAAGCCATGACAGTGTAAAATACAGTGTGGCAGAATTCAACAAGTGACCTACATTAAGATGCTTGAAAAAAAACCACTTATATAAGAGGTCCAAGAAAAGTATTGTTTCGGCATTAAAACTGTCTTCTGTGTTAAGGAATGACAGGAAAAATAATTACATATTTGGAATAGCTAAATTATTCTACATGAGTTCTTGGTACACACAGTTCCCTTCTGAAAGAAATTCAATTTCCAGTTATTACAAATAATATATTTTCTCAGAGAAAACAATAAATATAAATTTAATCAATCTTGCTCTTTCTGTCTCTGTCTCTCTCCAAATGAAGTCTCTACAACCCACAATATGGCTGAAAATTTCAGTTTCTCTCCTACCTTTAAAATCATGAAGTAGACAATTATTTACAGAGATGGGTCCATTGACAAGATTCTACCAATTGCTATACATTCAGAGATTTGCATTTCTCCTATTGAACCACTTTTAAATAACTGCACGAGACATATATGCCCCTTACCCATAGTCCTAACTTCAAAACTTCCATGCAATCCTGGGGGTTACATGCATGGTGAAGGGGTATGTTAAATACAAAACAAACTATGTTTATTGCCCATGCTAATGTGGATTTGTACCTAGGAGAAAGAGGAGTTATTAGCAAATCCATTCATTAAAATCCCATTATTTTCACATTAAGCTATCATTTATTAAAATGAAGCAATTTTCCTGATGAGAATTACCACTTTGGGTAATAAGCAAGTGTGGCCTTGCTTAGGACTGCATTTGGCTTTGTGAGAATTCATGTTACAGAAGGTGAACGAGGGAGCTCTCACTATTTACTCATCAAACACCTATCTCGATGATACCTGATCACCAGTCTAGACAAGTAGGTGTGTGGGCTTCAGAGGCAAAATTAGTACAGTTGTTTGCATTTATTTTCTGTAAGTCTTTTTATTCTACCACACATACAAAAATAAATCAATTTTTAAAAAAGAGTATTTTCTAATTTTCTTTGAAAACTCCCATTTTATATTCTACAAACATGTCACTAGTAGTACACTGCTGAAGAATGTCTATGCCACTATTGTCTGTCCCCAAACCAATAACATCTCCTCTTTGGTGATAACTCAGAAACAAAGCTCTGCCCACACTCTCATGCTCACTGTAGAACTGATTTGTTAATAGCCAAGATGCAGCATTGACCTAAGTGTTCAGCCAGAGATGAATGGCTGAATGCAATGTGGCATGCGCATAGAAGAACATTAGTCAGCCATAAAGTCAACACAGGCCTGGGATCTGCAGCAACATAGATGAGCCTAGGGAGTGAAGTAAGGCAGATTAGAAAATACAGCATGCACACTCTGGACAGGTGTGCGCTAGAGGAAGAACTTAGTTCATGAGTACAAAATCAGTTAGATAAAAGGAATAAAGTCCAGAGACCTATAGCACAGTGGAAATGGTGAGAGTTTACAAAAATATATTCTGCATCTAAAAACTGCTACAAGAGAGGGTTTGCAAATGCTCCCTCCAAAAAGAAATGATGGGTTGTTTGAGGTGAAGGATATGCTAATTACTCTGGTTTGATCACTGCAGACTGTAGACGCATGTATAAATATCATACTCATAACTCATACTCATAACTACCAGTTTAAAAACACCCCTCCCCAACAAATAAAAACACAAATTCCTTAAAGGCATTACCGCCACTATCTACCCTGGGGATCTCATGCTGTGTTTCTCATGCGGCCGAGTCACGGGCACATCCCTCAGAAGGTCCTAGCCTCTTCAGCTCTCACACACTTAGGCACTGTAGAGACGAGCATCAGTCCTGTCTCTTTACTGCACTTAAGAGACTGCATCGGCTCCACCCCGCTCCTTTATTCCCACCAGAAGAGCATTTCTAATTTCAGATATTTAAGAGTTACCATCTTTGTCCATTTGAAAATCGACCTGGCAGGAGGTCATGACAGTGGATCAGCATATTGTACCTATGCCAACATGGTCATATGCACCCTTCTAGAAGTAGAAAACAACAAACCCCTGTAACTCAGAAAAATCTCTTATTGAAGAATAAATAGACATTTGGAGATAAGCGGTCCACGCACAACCGAACCCTTGACAGTGGACGCTCTTGGTTCTGCTCACCTCTCACGGGGAACAGCAAACCAGTACTCCGGCTGCTTTCTTCTCTTGCCGTACTGCTGAACCATGGCAGTGGTGTGACTGGCAAAGGATTTTCTCATCGGTTTTCCCACTTTGATGCACAGAAACATGGGTGGGGTCTTGCTCTTTTCTTCTTTTGAGGGAAGTATATCTGAATCACATATGAAAAAGATTCTCAATCCTGACAGTATGGGAGACAGTAAAACTTCTCAACTTACAAAGAGGGGTTGGCAATGGGCAGAAACATGATTCAGCAACATCCCATCAACCTAATGAAGCATCTGACTTCCTTTGCTACAGAAGGGCAACATGTTTGCACATTTCAAGTCAGTGGGTGTCATATGGCACGCTACATATTAAATTCAGCAAAAACCGCAAGGACAGGAAAAAGTCATGAAGAACCATATCACTTCATAAGCACGCATATCAATGAACAGTAAGGAGTAAGGCCTCATCCTACTACAGTGCTGGTTGGTTTAGAACTGAAATTTCTCAAACGCATTTTCAGCTGAGCATGGAGGCACACACACCTTTAATCCCAGCACTCAGGAGGCTAAGGAAGGTGGAGCTGAGTTCCATGTTTGCTCTGGTCTATATAGAAAGTTCTACCAGGGGTACACAGTGAGTCCTTCTCTCTCTCTCTCTCTCTCTCTCTCTCTCTCTCTCTCTCCCTCTCTCTCTAATAAAAAGCAGTTTTGATTTAGGCATTTAAGGTCTAAAAATTATTTGAAAGAGTCAATACTTCTGAAATACAAATCTACATTTAGTTCATCTTCTAAATACATACTGTGTCTTACAAAATTTTACCTCAATCATTAATGCTATCAGCAAGGGTATATTCTATTGAGAATACAACACTCTGAAATAATTATTCTACTGTTACTAAAGGTGCATATTTTACAAAGGCAATTATATAACAGAATATGAAGGTATTAAATAACCACAAAAATAATAACCCCCACCTAAAGTCCCCCAAACAAAACAGAAGGCTGGGGATGGCTCAGTGTATAAAATACCTACAGTGCAAGATAAGGACTCAAGGTCAGATTCTCAGAACCAGCATAAAAGCTAGGAAAGCATGTGGCCTGTCTATGACCCCAGCAATAGGGAGGAATGGAGTTGGGCAAGATGTTCAGTTGGCCTGGCTCTGGGCTCAGAGAGACACTTAACTTCAGTAAATAAGGTGAACCATGAAAAGACAACACAGGGTTTCAATGTGCGTATGCATACGCCACATATATAATATATACATGTATCCACAAACATGGGAACATGCATACATACATACCACACACACACACACACACACACACACACACACACACACACACACACCCCAAAACAAACCAAACAACCCAAACCCAACCAATCAACCAAACAACAGCTTACCTTCGATGGGTACCTGAATTCTCTTTAACAGCCATAACTGAATCTCAGATTTGTTATCCATTTGTGCACCTTGACAGCTCTTGTCCAGAGATGATTTCAAAGAATCCAGAGCCTCTTTGTTGTTGATCACATTTTCTTCTGCGTTAGGGTCCAGTTTCAGGGTCTCCCTCTCTTTTATCCAGATTGTACCTGGCTCTTTGTTACCCTCAGGTGGGGAGTCACCTGCTTTGGGGAGAGAGCTACTAAGCGTGATGTCTATTCCTCCTGGCTCCACCCTTTTGCTGTCATTGAGTTCCGACCTCTGTATATTTTCAGACAGCTGTGAGCCTTCTTTGTTTTTATTTAGGTAAAATTCAATGAGTTTAACTTTATCCAGATCTTCGTGGATCTTCAGGCTGCTTTCTACCTGGTTTTCTGGGGATCCGGACTGCTTGTCTACTTCTGGCACTTTATCTTGCTTCTCACAGGTTTCCAAGTCTAGGGCCCCCTTCAGTTCGGCTTCGCTCTCTAACCCCCTAAGGGCCAGGGATGACTGCACCTGCATTTTCTTTGCAGACACGATTGTTTGGGACTCGCTCTTCTTTTGGTCGTAGGAAGGGTGTACCTTCATGGGGTCTCCTTTGTCCATCCTACTCCCAGGCTCAGAAGAAAGTTCCTCCAGGTCAACAAAGTCATCATCTTCTCCCAAAAGGGAGTTTTCTTTGGCTGTAGATTCCAAGGCAGCATGAGTATCAGATGGTCCCTTGCTGAGCTGAGTCATGGAGGGAGATTCACTGGCTGTCCCCTTGGAAGGTTCCAGTTTCTTTAGTTTCCATGACTCGGAGCTGTCTGAGGGCTTCATCCGAGTGTATTCTGCTGACTCCTCAGGAGGGCCCACTGATTTGGGATCTAAGGTGAGGGATCTCTCCCCATTCTGCTGTCGTCTTTCCTTGTTAATGGACTTGAACTTACTGAATGGATTGATATCTTTTTCTGAAGCCAGGTCCTCCCATTCTCCAGGCCTGTACAGAGGACAAAGATCCTGAGGTAGGTCACTGTTGGGGCAAAATGGTGGATGTACATGGAATGTTAAAAATAAAACCAAAAACAAAGTGGAGGAAAAGAAAAACACAAAACAAAACTCAAACCAAAACTTATAGTACAACTTAAATTCATGCTAAAATGATTTCAAAATAAGAAAATGAAACCAAGAGATTGATCACAAAATAAAATACAAGTCAAAACTAAAAGGAATGGCAAATGGATGGACCATGTGAGTTGTGCCTTGTGCTAAAACACATGAATGCATTCAAAGCATGGAGATGGTACCCACAAGACTTTTCAATATGAAACAATGTTTTTGATATTTATGAAGGAAAGGGTAAAGGAGAGGGACAATTTTTGGTTCAATTATTAAATTTTTTTAAGAAGTCAAATGTTTCCCTTTTTCTTTTCTTTTTCTTTCTTTCTTTCTTTTTTTTTTTTTTTTGGTTATAAAATAGTAGAAATCAACTGCAGAATTCTGAAAGGCCACTTGATGTCACAGCTTCTTTACGTAAAACCAGTTATTTCTAGTTACACTTACTCATTTTCTAATTTAAAAAGCCCTATTACTAGTAAGAGCGATAACAAAAGTTAACTTCCATTATTACTGGAAGTAACAGGGCCTTATAGTTTAAAGATCTACAGAAATTTTATAGAGAAGCTCTTAAAATATTGCATGAGTTTTTAAAGCATTTTAAATTTTGTACCAATAACGATATAACAACTGGTTTCTTACACAAAACCTATTGTCCTGAGATATAGTTAGGTACTGCCCTTAATAAGAGATGCTTACAACCCAGAATTGAATTATATAAAAGATTTGCTAAAGGTGTTCTTTCAAGTTCAAAATAAATGGCCAAGACACTATCCATTTTAGTTAGATTGTTTGTTTGAGACTGGGTTTCTCTGTGTAGCATTGTAGAACAGGCTGCGGAGAAATCTGTCTGCCTCCAAAGGCCCGCCCACCACAGCCTGGATAGGTTGGTAGTTTGTTACTGCTTTTTATTGATGTTATTTTGATTGTTTACTTTGTAACCCTGACTGACTTTGTACTTAAAGCCCTCCTTCCTAGGCTTCTCAAGAGCTAGGATTACAAAGTGCACCACTACACTTGGCTAAGAAAAATATACATTTTAGGATGGCTGGCCCTATATCAAGAACCCCTGCATGTTTACCTACAACAGTAGTAGCACCTCTGCTGGGTTCACAGAGATACAAACCTCCTTTCTAAAAGGGATACTTCCAATTTCAGGATTAAGGATGCTTTCTAAAAGCACCAGTGGTACTTTATCCACTCCAGCTTTAAAATAAACGATCATGCCAATATAGTAACTAAGTCCCAAGTAGACCTTCTCCCTGGAGTTATATTATGAAAGTCATTTACATGGAAAGCCCAGACTTTTCCCAATGAGAAATGAAAGCTCATATAAAGTGTTAGGCTCTCCTAGATGGCTTTCAAAGCTTTAACTCATTCTTCAATTTAATAAGCATTCAAGTGAGCCTCTAGGAGCCTGTGCCAAAATATGGTTGTTACTAGTTGTTTGTGCTATAGTCATGAGAATATACTAAGTGGATGACCTAATACCAGCATCCCAGAAAATACTGAAGATGCATCAATTTCAGGGAAAAACAACTTAGTGTGATAGAGAATCCTACCATATTGGAACACAGAATTTCATCTAACAGATTAAAGACTGAGATGCCCTACAGATGAAAGATCTCAGTTCTTCACATCCTTGATTAACAAGCCAAAGTTTCTCCCATAAACATCCAAGATCCTTTATTTCTCCCCTCTCTTGAAGAATGACCTGCAAATATACTCAATTGCATCCCAATTAGCCTCCCAGCTAACCTTGCCCACCTCTCCATTTTTGTTCCTCTCCCCAATCCAAGCTGCCAGTTCCCCACGTGAGACTAATTTAACCATCTGCTTTTTAAGCTCGCAGCTGCCAAGCACCTGCTGGCGCAAAGTATACAATGGCATCAACTGGTTCAGCTGTTAATTAATGTTTTTCTAGACTTAGCCAAGCGACTAATGAGGGTCAATAATCCTCACAGTTGTTCCCTTCCTATTTTCTGAGCCAGCTGGGCCCACTAACTATCCCCCCCAACACAAAACACTGGAAAGGATGTTTTTAGCTGGTAACCCCTCACCCCCTCTCTCCCTCACCCCCTCTTTTCTCTCCTCTGTTTTTCTCTGTCTCCTCTTTTTCTCCAAGTACATTTCAGGCAACAATTTTTTTCCTTTATTATCTGGATGTGCAAGTTTCCTTAATCATCCGCACCTCCCATTTTTCTATTTATTTGTTTAAGCTTCACAACACAAAAATCTCTCCACCTTTTGGTTTCCCTCAACACAGTTCCTTGCTTTCACAATGCCCTAGCCTCTGCATATACCCTCACTTTGAAATTCTATGTAAAGATCTCAACAGCTCCTGGTCGAAAAAGGAGAAATGGTTCTTACGATGGCAGAGCATCTTTGATCTTCATGTGAGAAATGTCATTGTACAAGGCAATGGAGACCACCTCTTCCATGGGGCAAATGAGGCCATACTCTTCACACCCATTTTCAATAACCAAGGGGTCAGACTTATGAGGGTCAAACATGATATTGTTTGGAGTGACAATCATGACACCGCCAACCACACCCTGCAGAAGGAAGAAACAGGAGATATTACTTGGGATAGAAAAACATTCCCTGCTGTTACGAGCACTTTCCGGCCAGCCTGATCCCCACAGCCATGTCAGCCCCAAATAACACACAGAGACTCTGTATTAGATACAAAGCTGTTGGCTTGTTACTAGTGTTTCTTATTGGCTAGCTCTGTCTTAAATATTAACGCATAATTACCAATATATGTATTTCTACATGGTCATATTTTACCAAGAATGCCAGACTCACATCCTCTCCTCCTGAGATCACATCATCACTCTGTCTTATGTTTTCCAGAATCCTCCACCTCTCCTAGTCCCACCTATCTTGCTTCTCTATTGGCCAACAGTGCTTTATTCATTAATCATATTTATAGAATGACATTTCTTATCATCTCCTCTTTTCTGTTTAAATAAAAAGGTCTTTAACTTTGACAGTAAAATATATAACAAAACACTTATCAAATAAGAACTATAGTTAACAATATTTAGTCCATTAACATTATCAGGAATTAAAGAAAATATTTTATCATCTATCCTATCTTTGTGAGTCTAAAGTCTTACATGTAACTTATCTTTAATCCTAACTAAGGAAAACTAGAACCATAACTATCTGTCTTCAACTCAATCAAAGACCACAGAAGGATAGTATATAAACTCAATAAATGACAGAGACATCTTGCTACCTGGACAGTCATCCAAAGTTCTTCTGAAATGACATCTCCCATCACCCTGCCCAACATAGCATCTTTAATTACTTTGCCCTTCCACTGGCTTTGTGAGCCACCGTCTCCTGTGTGCCAATCATATCTATGCTAGCAAAGCTAGAGAATATGCTGGAAAGATCCAATGCTGGTGGCTGGGGAGGCAGCAGACAGTGACAGCTCCCTGTTGCTCACACAGCCTGTGTTGTCACCCTGCTTCATACACTCATGTGTCATGGGTCCCCATTTCTCTGTCAGAAAAATAACAGACTGTCCTAACCCCATTCATGATCAAGGACATACTGCCTTATAATCCTCCCAACAGCAAGACTTCACCATCTCTAGCATGTGGCTCTCATGGGAAAACAGAATGATGGTGCTGAAGACGAGCTAATATTTTTGTCTAAGACAATCACAGGTCTCATCCTCAGCAAAATTCCATATAAACAGCAAAAGGGAAAATTTGCAGTTCTAGTTTGCACAGCTCTATTATAGACATTAGGCAGTAGCCTGCAGATCTTCAAATCTGAAGCTTTATCAGATTATATTAGAGCGCCTGCAGATCGGGACGACAGTATCCATCAGGGATGGTAGGAGAGATTTCTGGCAGCTAAGTCAGTTGATAGCTTTGACCGGTCTTGTAATTATCTTGTGAATTGTTTTGCAGTTGAGGAATCATTCATTTTTGTTTTCAGAAGTTTCTCTACTATTGTAAATTTACTGATGTAAATCCTCTACTCTATGCACAGAATATTAATATAGATCCTTCTAAGGAAGTTTACTAAAAGTTGGATTTCTGTTTTAAACACCAACAATCTAAAAACTAAAAGCATGATGCAACTGAAACAGTATTTAATGATAACATTACCAACATCAACACAAGTTAAAAACGTCTCCTTTTTGATTAGCGGTTAGGCTCATTACACAAATCATCTCTTTTTAGTGTCACCCAACAGTTAAATTTTAGTGTCATTCTTATTTTATGGGTGGGGAAATTAGAAAACAAGGATTTTCAAATACCTTCCTCATGTTTCCTAACTAGCAAGTATTAAAGTTAGTATTTAAATCCAAGTATTTGCTGTACAACTCAAATGTATCTGCCTAACAGTTTACAGGTCAGAAGCTAAAATAAAAATGTCCTATAAATCCAAGATCACAAGGGATCATATTTCTTTTTCCTTAAATTCTTTTTTAACTTTCATTGATTCTTTGTAGACTTCCCATTACTCACCCCTGCCCTACTTATCTCCCCACCCCCCACATCCACCCTCTGCCCCTGCAGCAGCCCCCCCCCCAAAGGCCCAACATTTAAAAGAAAAACCAAAACCAAAGCAAGCAAACACAGAAAACAAAAATATATTTCTATTTAGTGAATATATTTCCTTCAATGGGGAAAAAAGTCAAGTAACCAACAACAAAATCAATGAATGTCAAATTCCGCACTTCAACTGTGGGTAAAATATTTTAATGGAGTTTTCCTTCCAGAAATGTCCAAGCCTATTTAGATTCCCTGACTGTTAACCTGTCACAGAGCATACCTTTCCATCTGTGAAGTAGCGACAGTTCATTTTGAGAAATTTCACAACACCTGGCTCATCTTCCTCAGAGGTTGATGACAAGACCCTCTCAATGGGTTTTAAGGCCTTTCTTGCTAAGTCAGCATCCTTATGAAAGCAAAAATGGCCAAAATTAGGAAAAGAAAATTAACCTATTCAAAACAGCTTACATATAAGTATGTTATACCCTCTTTTCCTCAGACATTGAAAAGGAAAATGATACATGTCCTTCAAAAGTAGCACACACAAAAGTTTCTCTACTATTTGTAACCTGGTATAAATTCTTGACTCTACGCAGAGAATATTCATAACTTTCTTCAGAAATTCTCTAAAAGTTGGATTACTTTTGTACATACCAACAATCAGAAAACTAAAGTCATGATGCAGTTCACATCATTTTCAATGCTAACAATACTAGCATCAATATGACTTGAAAGCTTCTACTTCCCAAATTAGAGGTAAGTCTGATAAGTATCCAGATTCAAACTGAGATAGAAAAATACATGTGAGCCCCTAAAACTCTTTCTTTAAACATCTTAGAAAATATTCGAGATGAATAAATGCATACTACGTCATGGATTCCAATTCCCTGGCAAAGCACAATGTACTCGACTGGGAATTCAGCTTTGGAAAAGGCATGCACCTTTATCTTTGAGACCTTTTGTAAACAGGTGTGCTGGGAGAGGATGAATTCTCTCAACTGATGACAACATCCCTAGCCTCACTTGTTTAGGGAAATTTTCAGATGTAATTTTTTAAGAACACAGTGTACTGATCTCTACCACTAACAGAAATGAATCCCAGCCTGTAAGGTGCTAGCATACATACAGGCAGCTTGTCGTATTCTGCATCTGATGATGACGGAGAGACAGTAGCACCAGGAGTGGATGATGACAGCCGTAAGGTACTAGAAGGGAAGTTGGCATCTGGCACAAACAGGACCTATAGGTAAGAGAGCATGACTGAGTGAGGGTCAAAGTCAGGCAACTCCCTAGTTCATACTTCGCGAACTCAAACATCTGCCCATCATACTCAGCGCCTCGGTAAGACCCAAAGCTTCCATTTCACTTATAAGCAATATGGGGTCTTCTGAATCACACATGAACTGTGCTAAGCAATATTAAAGGGCACAGTACAGTGGGTGCAGAACACTGATGTTGCAGGACAGGTGAGCATCTTGTCAGGGCCAGTGACGCCTAAACAATAGGAACTGGGAAGGAAGGAGGGAAGTTAGTCTCACTTCCCAGGAGGGAGACCGATACAGCTTGAGTATCCCTTACCTGAAATACCTGGGGCCAGTACTTCAGCTTCAGCATGTATGTATGCATGTATGCTGTATATATATGTATGTGTGTGCGTACATGTGTTTATGTGTATATGTATACATATGTGTGTGTGTTTTATACATATAAATATATTATTTATTGTATTATCTATGAATATATTAAATATATTTATTATACCAATTTATACCTCATATAAATATGTATCTATATAACTGCAAAGACTTTACCAGCTTTGATAACCTGAAAACTCCAAATCTAAAATGCATTATTAATACTGATTATATATGAGGAGAAAAAAAAGGAGCAACGCAGACTACAAAATATAATGCCCCTGTTAGGCAGAAAGGAGCAAGTCCAGGCCAGTGACTTTCAATCAGGCCCGAGAGCCAAAGTAGCATGGGCTTTGCATAAAGAACTGCATAAAACAGAACCAATATAATAATCCATAAGACTATCTTAAATAGTGTATAATAACTTCTGCTGCAAAACAGTCTGCTTCCTGAATTGGTATTACGATACTGTCTTTCAATATTCTTTCAATGAAACAGCTACATTTTGGCATAGAATCAAATATAATCTTCAAATAACGACCTTCAACTGCTATAGACAGAATTTAAAGCCCATTTAACAATTGGTCTCGCACTAACAGTGTTAGCATTCCTTCTTAAACCCCACTTCAGGGGGCTGGCAAGATGGCTCCGTGTTTGCTATACAAGCATGATGACCTGAGTTCATGAGTTCAAGCTTTGTAACCAATGACAAAAGTCAGATGCAGCGTCACATCTACAATCCCAGCACTCTTAACTAGATGGGAGGCAGGACCACGAGGGAGCCTGCAAGCCAGGTAGTCTTGATACACAGCAGAGCAAGAGTATAGAGGCAAGAGCAATGTTGCCCCAACCAACGAAGTAGGAGAGAGCTGCCTCCCCAAAAGGTCCTTTCACACTGACATGCGTGCACCCGTACTTACACACCCCCACACACAGAAGGGAAAAAAAAGAACTCATTAGAACCCAGAAAAACATACAAAACATCCTAAATTAATTGTTATTGTTATTTATTTGTTTTTAGATTTTAAACAGGGTCTCATTTACCCCAGTGTGGTCTCAAACTCCCTATGAACCTAAGGATGACTTTGAACTTCTTCCTTGTTTTTGGTTTTCTGAGACAGGGTTCCACTATATGACAGCCCTGGCTGTCCTGGAACTAGCTCTGTAGACCCAGCTAGCCTTGAACTCACAGAGATCTGTCTGTGTAAACCACCATCACCCAATCTTGAACTTTTGATTTTCCTTTTTCTATCTCCAAGATGCTGGAATTACAGGTGTGTGTCAGCACACTCCACCCTAAATTATTTTACTGAGTTTGCACATAATCTTTAGCCTTGACTTAATAAGTACTGTCTACGGTCTCCATCATGGGTCAGGTATACATTATTCAGAAATACCCCCATATTATAAAACAAGTCCGAAAGGAAGTGGTTAACATGCCTACTTTTCTGGAAAAGAGTGTACTAATTTCTGATAAATTTACAGTTCATTTGCTAGTTAATTACCTGATACTATGGGTGTCCTAATTTCCCCTTTTCAGAAGAGCAAAAATACTAACTACTAGGTGGCTGGTTTGAGTGTCTATTGTCTTCATACATTACAATGAAAATAAATACAAAGTATAGTGACAACATTATTTAAAGTTGTATTTGAGAAAACATTGTCTACTCAGGAAGAATTGGACATCCTGGTAATGTAGAGATGCATGTGCTAGTAAGTCAATAATGGAACCTAATGTGCTTACAAGACCCAGTGTTTCTGTGGATAAGGCTGTGTTTTGCCTCAGTGATGTGTTTTCAATATCCAAACTATTTAAATCCATTGGTTGAATGTACTTTTGGAGTGAAAAAACTCACAGAATATAGTATCATAGAGAGTACTGTATCTAGCTAAAGAAGCAGGATTATATATTTGCCAGTTTATTTATGATGACAAATAAGATACTAAAATCCTGAAAGACAATGTAGATTGGTTTTCTTGTCTTTATCTTTCTCAATGTCTTTTTCTTTGGTGGATAGACAATTATGGTACACATTAAGATTTTTTTTTTTTTTTAAAAAAATCTTTCTAAATTTACCAAAGAGTGGACAAAACTGCAATTGTAAATAAGAATTAAATATTCTAAAAAAAAAAAAAATCTGTGTTACATTTGACAGGGAACAAATTGTGTATCAATTTAAAACTCCTCTTGATACCCCAAGAAATGTTTCCTACCTAAGTTAATGATTGTGATAAATGTGCTAATCGTTTCCCAAATTCAAATCTATGAACTATTTCTATTAAGAAGCCTTCAGAATTCTTAGATCTAAGGAGATGAAGTTGTCTTAGTTCTTACAGATAGTTCAGAAGACAATTCTGTGGCACCAATTCTAAGTCATTTAATATGGAAAAAAAAGAAGGCAAATATTCTAAAGTAATATTAAACATAAAAATAATTAATTACCTGGCCTGGAACAATAGTGTGTGTGAAGAGTTTATTCAGTTCCACTAATTTATTGGGAGTGATGTTAAACTTCAGTGCGATGGAGTTGAGGGTGTCCTGGCTTCCAGCCTGCAACAGTTAAATGAACAAGCATCAGTATGTAAGGTGAAAACAAAACAACAAATAAAGAAAAGCAGAAATACTTTCAATAAATGACACCAACTGATTCATGATAGCAGTGGATGAAAAAGTAGCAGTTCCATCCAGATGTGCCATGAGAAAGAGGGTGATTAATTTTTCTTTGTCCTTTCTTGTAGTGTGGTTGCTCGACGTTGCTGTTGGTTTTGGGGTTTGCATTGAGATAAAGTTACACTCCACCCTGAAAAATCACTAAGTAGCCCAAGTTTGCCTCAAACTGGCAACCACTTTCATGCCTCAGCTGGCCAAGGGCTAAGAGTTTTAGGTGTGACCCCCATGCCTGTCTCACGTACAACACTCAATGAAACTACACACAAAAGCATCTTAACTTCAGTTCATTTCTGGGCTCCCTCATCTTCGGTGTTTACCCTGCACTAACAGAGTTCTAACTTCCTTTTGGTACTATCATAAAACACATCCGATCCCAGAGGTTTTCAGGCTTTAGGATCAATACAAGATGTAGATTGAGAAACCAGACCCTAGAACCAAAGGATTGGCTTTGAGTTCCAGGACTGCCACTCACTGGCTGCATGACTTTCTACACAGCAAATCTAAAAAGGGATTTATAAGAAGCATAGTCAAGCGAGGGCAACAATGTCTAACTCCTTCTGAGATGCCAAAGAACCTCTCAGCAATGAATTTAAATAGAGCTACAATTGTACGCTCAGATAGTATGAAGTCTGTGCTAATGACTTCATTACCATAATGGGATAGGCAAGTGCATGGCAAAGGACACTTGGCACAGTATTGTTCATCTGTAGCTTCCAAGTATATGGAAGCATATTCCCTGGCAAGTGCCAAGAATACAACATAAAAAGGGTCTAGTTTCTCCTCATGAATCAAAGAGTTAAGGCACAAGATAGACATTTGAAAGAGCATATCAGTGATCAGTGTTAAAATGACTAATTGATAAATGAGAGAATGAGACCTGATCTAGAATTTCTGGGTGGTGAGAAGAAGTAGAAATGGGCATGGAGAACAGGGAAGGTGAGTTTAAGAGTGAGAGCCTGCTTTGTATTAATACTTGATCATATTGCTTCTTTGAGGAGGAGAAAACATAGAGATCTAAAACAATATGTTAAGCAAGAAACAGACTGATGACTTTGGATCTTAAAGAAGATGTCTGGGAGAATCTTCTACAATTGATGGTCATAGCCATCTTGGAATCAATTCAAGTCATTTGTTTGTTTGGAGCAACAAAGCTACCAGCACATCCTTCACTGAAAATGTTCCTCCTCTAAATAAGAAAGTTCATCTTATTAAACCAGGTTCCAGTAGGGTGTGCATGGAGTGGTGAGGGAAGTGGACACCTGCATGGCCTTCCAGACAATCCTAAGGAAGGCTGATAATCAATGGAATGACAGAAGCTGTACCAGGGAGAAAACATGGTGGGAAAAGAAATGACTTAAAACAAGTCTTGAGAAACCACATAAACCACTTCAGAGTATAGTTAAAGAGCCAGGTAAGTCAAGGAGAAACAATATGCTTGTGCAATACAGTGGCAAAAGTCACCTAAGCTCCCCCAATCATACTTACAGTGTATCCCATGGTACCATGGGGCTTCTGAACCACCATCTTCTTCTCTTTTTTATCATGAGTTTTGCTTTGATTGTCATCTGAAGGATAAATCATGCATCAAGAGTAATTTCACTTTGAGGAATTAAGACAGACTATATCTACATTATATGAAAATCCAATACTAAATTGAGATAAAAATGAGAGCAGAGCTAGGCGGTGGTGGTGGTGTTTGCCTTTAGCACTCGGGAGGCAGAGGCAGGCGGATCTCTGTGAGTTCAAGACCAGCCTGGTCTATAAGAGCTTGTCCCAGGACAGCTCCAAAGCCACAGAGAAACCTTGTCTCAAAAAACCAAACCAAACCAAACCAAATGATACCAATAGGAAAATAGGTTGTAGGCAAAAATGGACCACACACATAAAGTACAGTACATCTGTGATCACCAGAATAAATGATTAATACTTGCTGCAATCAAGTAATACAAGGAAAAACATGGTAAGGTTTCCAGTTATTAAAATATTAGTTTAAATGGGACTATTTTGTGCTAATGAGGTTGCAGCAAATCAGTATAATCACTATATAACATATAAATGGTACATGATGCAAATGACTTCAGCCTTTTAGATAGATAATGGTTGATTTGTGTAGCAATAGCTGTAAGATGCTCATTCTCTAATTTAGTTATCTTTCTTTTAAGAATGTATGAAGCCAAACTAAAATAAAGAAGTACTAAACACATATTTCTTAAAACATTATTTACATTTTTAAAAAAGCCAGAAGAACCATAATTCTAACAATGAAACTGCAGATTTTGCTATGCTTTTTAGTTTTGTTTGTTTTAAGACTTTGAGAGAGGTTCAAGCATCGTGGGCTAGAACTGAACTTTCTGTGTAGCCAAGGTTGACTTTGAACTCCTGATCTTCCTGTCTCTGCCTGCCACACACTGGAGTTACAGGTGTGTACCACCACACTTGCGTTATGCAGTGCCAAGGAGCCAACCAGGTCTTTATGTATGCTAGGCAGACACACTAACCACTAAGATATCTTTGCGGATTATTCTGTTATTGTAGATAACTACTGCTGGTCTCATATGATCCAACTTAATAGCTATAGTTAAATACATTGTAATGTGCTTATCTAAATATCAAAAGCCATGGAGACATATTCCAAGTTTTATCTGGGCAGGAAAAAAAAAAATGCACATCAAAATGAGATGTCACTTTACACATACCTGACAAGTCACAGGAGCTAGATAGATACCCTGAGATCAGATGGTCTCGCAAGAAACATGAACCGCTACCAGAAACGTAAGCTGATTCAGTTGCTGCAGCTCAGAGCGCCTACTAGCTGTGCATCTAAACTGCAGTTTAGCTCGCAGATGCACAGGGTCTCCCAGGAGGGAAACACTTTATACACAGCACAATTATCTGCCTGGGGATATTCATCACTGTGTCCTCTGAGGCAGGGGGTTCTCTGACAGTCCAAGGCAGTAATTAAAAGTAACAAAGCAGAGGGCACATGGCCACAAGTTCACATCAAGAGGGACAGGAGGGGAGAGATAGACCAGTGTCAGTAATGTCCGTCTAAAACAGTCACACGTAGTTTTCAAGGGCACATAAAAAAAAAATTAAACACTCCCACCCAGAATATATTAGAAGGACGTGGCACAGAGATAAAAATGGCAGAGGAGAAACGGGATATAAACAAATAAATAATAAACAAACAAACAAATGAGAAGGAGCCTGTCTCTGACCCTTCATAACTGGCTGTAAGAAAAGAAATGGGAAAGACTCGGCCCTCTGCATTTGAAGTCCCGCAGGCACACAGTCCACAGAGAGATCATCATGTGGACCATATATGCAAAGATACAGGGATGCGGGCGAGAACAGGAAGGCAGCAGGACACGCAAATAGTTACATCATATAGGAGTTTTCTAGCTTTTCAATGTTCCCTATAACCAATATCTAAAATAAGACATCAAGAGCAGTGAATGAAGAAGGTGCATGACAGTTCATTCCTGTCACCTTCCCAGACCAGAACATTCTACACAGCTCATTTTCAAACAATGTAACCACAGGGTTTCTCAGAGTCTCATGACACATGTAAAAATGGAGTCACCTAGATCTGGGAAGGTGAACAATGAAATATTAACATTCTTCCTTTTTCTTAATGCCATCTTTAAGAAACTGAATTTTTTTGTTTGTTTACATGGGAGATGGACCCCAGGCTACCATTCCCAGAAACCTTCTAAGGCTATATGTTGTTGACTCTTTCTTTAAAAAGAAAAGAAAAACTCTGTGTGTGTGTGTGTGTGTGTGTGTGTGTGTGTGTGTGTGTGTGTGTGTACCACAGGGTCCATGCAGTCACAGGACAGCTTCCAGAGAGTTGGTTCTCTTTTTTCATTATGGAAAAAGCTATTGGTTAATGTATTCACTCATTCATTTGAGATGGGAGCTTCTCTATCCCAGACTGGCCTCAAACTCACTATGCACCTGAGGATGATCTGAACTCCTGATTGGCTTACATTTGCCTCCAGAGTGCTAGTATCACAACCACACCCAGCTTTATGCTGTGCTGGGGACCGAACACAGACCTCCTGCATGCTGGGCAAGCATTCTCCCAACTGAGCCGCATCTGCAGCATTGTGCGGCCCCTTGAATGTCTTCCATCTACTTTCTTCATGGCATGTCTTTCTCATCCACTCCAAAAATAATTTTTGTTCTTTGCTGGATCCAAGCAACACGGAGCACTATTATAGGCCCGCTGACTTGTGGACAGTTAATAGATTGCAAAAGTATATATATACATGCGTGTGTGCGTGCGTGCGTGTATGTGTGTGTTCCTTTCAGTATAGGTTTAATATGTACACTTGAATAATAAAAATCAAAAATGAAATTTACCTTCCACAGACAGAACATCAAATATATATTCCTGCTAAAACAATGACAGTGTCAGAACATGGTCCAAGAATGTAGTCAAATGAGGGGAGTCCTGACTGTTTGTAAGAAAACCAGACAAGAGTCTCTCAACCTCAGTTTCTTCAAAGGACAGAAATGTCCCTGAAATGTGTTTTTGAGCCCCTCCCAGGTCTATGGGATAGGCGAGAGTTTACTTTAGCTGCCGTTATACACCTTTTTTGACACTTTGATTGCCTTTTGATTGTACACTTTACTCGGGTGACTCTTCTTAACTCTCAGAGAATAAATCGTCTGATGCTCTGAATAAAGTTGGCTCTTGCCTGAGACTTCAGCCTACCTCATTTCCAGACTCCCATCTTCCCAGCTCCATCATTCTCAAAGCAATAGACAAGAAGGGCAATGAGCCAGGCAGTAAAATACTAACTACCTCCCTACACGTGTAAGGGCCAGAATCACATCTACAATGAAGACAGCTGGAGCATGGCACCTGGGATTCCCAACCCTGAAGGGGCAGAAGAAACGGGTAGATCTCTGGAGCTCGCTGGCCAGTTAGTCTGGCTGAAAGCGAGATCTCCACACTCAGTGGGGCCATGTCTCATAAAGTAAGGTAGAGCCCATGTAGTGTGTTCTGGGATAATAATTTTCAATAAATACATTAAAATAAAATAAAGTAAAATAAAATAAAAAACACTTGACATAGAGATCTGACCTCCCCACACATAGGTGCACACCCCTTCATGCCAGAGTCTAAGGATGTGAAATCCTTGAGGTAGAGCTCAAAGTGACCCCATTGTTGAATGTCTTGAGCTGTCATAATGATGTCTGGTACATAAGGTAGAATGAACTTCCTGATACAGATCAACTTCCTGGATATGTCTATTGTGAGTAAAACTTTTCACTGCACACTGTCACATTGGGAAAACTGCACGTGCCTACCAAAGCCACAAACCAAACAAAATGCTCTACAGCTGGACAAATAAAGAAAGCAGAAAGTACCTGGTCAGTTTTAAGAATAACCACCTTTCTGGCATTGTTGCAGAATGTAAGGTCTCACTTTATTTCTTACAGATAGCTAGAAAGATGGCCAACTCTGTGTCCCAGTGAATGGAGTCAAGACAGGCTCTGCAACACAAAGCCTGCAGCGGTAGAGATTTCTGGCCCTGGGCAGAGGTAGGAAGGGACAGGAAAGGACAGAGATCCAACTCTAGTAGTGAATGTGACAGCCTATGATTATCCTCAAGGATGCATGGGGTTTCTCAGTGACCTTAACAGCCTCAGGCCTCCTCACAATCCTTCTCTACCCACCAAATTTTAACTTTCCCCTTATTCTAAGGATTGGAAGCAAATAAGTAAATGTACCTATGCACAAAAAAAACGTAGCTATCCTTGATTCCTCAGAAACTGTTCTGAACAAGGTGATGGAACATTTAACTAGTCCTAGCTACAAGATAAAATGAAAATGGGCCATGTGAGACCCTGTTTCAAAACACCATTTGGGATGGGAATGTAGTTCAGTTGGTAGAGTGTTTGCCTATCTTGCAAGAATCCCCGGATCTAATCACTAACAATGTATAAACTGGGTGTGCTGATGGGATTACACCAGTCATCTCAGAGAGTGGGAAGTTAAGGCAGGAGGGACCAAACAGTCAAGGCCATCACTGGCTACAGAGTCTGAGGACCACCCTTAGCTAAGTAAGGCCTCAAGTGTTCTAAAAAATTTAAATAAATAAATATAAAAATATCTGGATACAACTCCAGACGGTGAAATAGTGTCCTGAGAAGCTACTCTTCAGAGGAGATGTCTCAATGACATTCAAATAAGAGGAAATTAGAGAGGCAAAGGAAAAACTGTCTGTGTCTCTAGATTTGAAAGAGCCCTACTTTATGTCCCAATACTGGAAACTGATGTCATTAACTGGAAATCAGATCATGTGCCATCTCATTTATATCACCAACATCTGACTACAATTTCACTTTGGAACAAAAAAAAAAAAAAAAAAAAAAAAAAAAAGTGAGTGAGTTTCATTGGTTTTGTGACAGAAAACAAGTTACCTGAAAGTTCTATATCAAGTCTGTCATCTACAACATAAAGAACTGTCTGATAATGTCACCAAGGAAACAGTAATGACCACTGAGGAGGCTCTCTGACCTGCTGAGCGAGCATAGAGCTTTCTTGAGGTGT